TAATTTCTATTTCTTCTCTGTTTCATCTCTAGTAAGCCTACCTTTCATTTGAAATCCATTAAAATGTTTTTGAATGAGCATTTGTTTTTATGTGATAGTCAAAAGAGTAATGCTTCAACAGACACAAATTCAGGCCAAAATTCAGGAGGAGCAAAGACCATGAACAACAATCAAATGAAAAGATGTCCAATTCACCGAATTACAATACACTTCAAGATAGTCACAGATGACCAGAATTCTAGTAGAGTATCCTTACGAGCAATTTGCATGGCACACAATTCAAAAGAAAGTTCAAGAAAGATATATTTTTAAGAAAACTGATTCTCTACATTCCAAAATTCCATCTTACGTTCATAATAGTTTGTCAACATTATGAAAGAGTTTTGCAGCCTGGGCTATTCTAGAAACTACACAGGTCTGATTCCCCTGGCAGGAGTGCGGGGAGGGCCATGGCAGTATCTGTCCTGTTTATTTCCTTCAACAAAGTAGCCTTTTGATGGAAAAAAAAAAAAAAAGATCCAGGAAGGAAGGGGTCACTCAATCAGCAGACAACATTGATTTGGGTTTTATTTTTCTGGGTTTTTTTGTTTGTCTGTTTACTGTAGAAAATGGGATTACAGCAAATGATGAAGGGTTTGAAAATCACTCTGTTTCTTAACAATACACACCTGAATGGAACTTGGTTTTCAGATCCTATTGATACAGGATAACAAACCAAGTACATCGAACTGCAGATGCGAACTAGCCATAAACCTATCTCACATGTAACAATACCTGTTTGTCAATCAGAAACACAGCTTCTCAGTACACCTCCCTCACCTGGGAAGGAATGTGTATACCCATGCCCCTTAGGACCACACACAAAAAAAGCCAGTAATTGGGAGAGATCCCCTCTTGTCTCATCAGAGACCAGACAGGAGGAGGCACTGAAAGGGTTCTGTTTCCACATCCCCTCCTCCATACCTTTTCTCCATCCTGCCTACTGCACTCCACAGCTGTGCCCACTCATGTGTGTGTCTGCTTTCTCACCTTTTAAATGAATGGTGCCCCTTTGTGTACCATGTATGTGCATTTTAAGTATAAGGCAAGGACCCTGAAGAGTTAAACCTCCAGACATGACATTGCTTGCAGCCAATCAGGATGCTTCTGAAGAATCGGACTCCAGGAGGAGTGGTACATCAGTTTGACCCATACAGATCTTTCAGTCTCTCCCCTCCAAACCATCATGTCTCAGTCGCCTCGCTTACCTGCAAGTGCCGTGGCCCTGTTGTTGGGAGCCCCTCAGGATTCATTCCTGACTTACGTATAGTGTGGCCTTATCCATGGATGTTCCTAGGCAGTAATTCGGCATCCCCAGGAACCCAGAGCTCACTGCCAGGTGGCCAACAGGTGATGGATTCACCCACTGCCTTGAAGCAGTGGATGGAGCTAGGACCCCACACATTGCATCTGACCTGGCTCAGATTTCCCGGGCAGCCACCACGCTGCCAGGAGGTCTGTCCATCCAAGCCCAGAGGATGAGCTCACCTGCTCCCCACCCCCCAAAATCAGGAATTGGGTAGTTATTTTCCATCTCAGTCTGCCAGGAACCACCCTCCCCTCAACCCTCACACCCCTTCAAGCTAGCTAAAACAAAGAACATTATTTTGGACCCTCCCCACACCTGTTGGCTTCCCAAATAGAATAACTTCATGTAATCACTTCACTTGTTATTTTTTGAAGATTCTGGTATTTTAACAACTTCCTAGGGACTTTTTCTTGAGAAAAAGCACAGGGCCATGCACTATGGCCTAATGGCTAAAGTCCTCACATTGCATGCTCCAGGGTCCCATAGGGAAGCTGATTTGTGTCCCAGTGGTCGCACTTCTTTTCTAGCTCCCTGCATGTGGCCTGGAAAAGAAGTCAAAGATGACCCAAAGTGATCTTTTTTGCACCCAAGTAGGAGACCCAAAGAAGTTCCATTAGTAGGAAGCTGGATTGGAGGTACAGCAGCCAGAACTTGAACTTGAACTTGAGCCTATTAAGCCATAGTGCCAGCCCCTAGTGTTATTTCAAAATATGCTTTTTTTTTTTCATTTTTTGCTTCATCTATCAGTGTACTATGTCACGTCTACTTAATTAAATCTACTGTCTAAAATTTGAAATACAGGGAAATAGAAACAGGAGGGATTGAGAAAGTTTATAAAATTGTTACAGGTTTTATCACATGTGTATTGTTTGCTGTGTGCCTAAGAAAGCCCACATTATGAAGATATCTTACTGTTTCTGTGGTTTACTAACAACAGGCAAGGAGATCTAGAAAATAAGCAAATACTATAGTGGAAAAAAATAGCAGGATTTGAGTAAAATCTTCTATAGTGCACAAAAGTAGCATAGCTACAGCAAGAAAGACTTCTTTAAAGTATTGTGGGCAGCAGGGGAGTGAGCGAACTGTGGTTTTTCTTCTTGGAACTATACCTATGGAATGCATAAAATGTGTACTCTTTATATTAATAAAATAAGAGTGAAATGGTTAGAATAATATGGCATATAAATGTATAAAGACACATACATATATATATAGTATGGAATATTATTCACTCATACAAAGAAATGAAACCATGTCTTTTGCAGCAAAACAAATACAACTACATATCATTACCTAGTGAAAGAAGCCAGTCCCCAAAAGATAAGTATGTATTTTTGTGGAGTTGGGAGTGCAAGGCTGTGTAGCAGATATTTACTCTTAACAACAATAGTGTTAAAAGGTTATTGGGGTAAATAGTAAATTGGTGTCTAGAGGTAAGACTAGTTAAACATAGAATAGTAGTAGCAATACATGAGTGCTGAGTAGTGCTAAGGGAGTCTCTTAACTGTTAGCATACTATGTTTGGCTTCCGTAATTGTTGCTTGGCTTTGCTGCATAAAGAACAGGACTGACACCATGATAGGCCTAAGGTCAGGGAGTAGGCTTAAGTTTCACTTCACTTCAAAGTTGCATTTTCCTCAGAGTCATGGAGTGGGCAAAGGGCAGTGACCTTGGAGATGGGCCCATCAGGGGCATCTTCATGTCCGCAAGTGGAATGTGCTCTGCACTGGTATGGGTTGTGTGGGAATTTTAACGATTGACATCATTTCATCTTAAATTAAAGCAAACATGGCATCTAACCTTTTGGTATTGGCTCATTTCCCTTAGCATAATGATTTCCAACTGGGCCCATTTAGCCACGAAGCAATGCATTTCATGTTTTTTAATAGCAGAGTAGTATTCCATGGAGTAGATTGTTTTGGGAGATTTTTTTTTTAGAAAGTCAGGGTCTACACCTAAATCTTACAAGGTGTTTCCAATATTTTCTTCCAAAAGTTTGAAGGTTTCTGGATGTGGGTTTAGGTCTTTTATCCATTTAGATTTGATCTTAGTGTATGGTGAAAGATGTGGGTCTAACTTTTTGCTTCTACAGTCTATCAACCAATTGTCCCAACAACATTTATTGAAGAGACCTTCCCATTTGCCTGGATTGTCGTCTGTTTTTTTGTTTGTTTGTTTGTTTTTGTCAAAGATTATTTGGCTGTATCTTTGTAGGTTCCTCTCTGCTGCTTCTATTCTACTCCATTGATCCTCCTCTCTATCTTTGTGCCAGTACCAGACTGTTTTAATAACCACTGCCCTATAGTATGTTCAGTCATGTAATTTTAACTGCTATCTCTTGAAGGTGAATATAGCATATCCACCATACTTAGTCTTTAAAAAATCACATGACATTGAACTATCAAAACCACTTGAGCAGCAAGACCCTTGGAGCATGCTCCACATCAGGGACTTGGAAAACAGAAACAGGAAGAAATGATGAGGAAATAATAGTCTTACCCACTTTCCTAGCCCTTGAACCTTTGTGCCCTAATTAACTATGTAAAGATTATCAAAAATCAAGAAAAAAAATTAGTTAAAAAAATCACATGACAACATGTGATCCCCAATTTCTTAAGGTTGTTGATAAAGATTTGATATGTCATTTCCAATTTTAGATTGTGATTTTAGGTGTATGTTGAGAGGGGTTTCTTGGGAGCTTGGAGCCTATTTGAAAGAATTTCATCTCAACCAAGAAAAATGAGGTGTGTGCTATGACTGTGCTGGTGGGGAAGGAAAGGACAGGATGGACCCATTGAAGTGATGCAGTACAGATTAGGGGCAAGAACTCAGTGGCCTTTGCTTTTTGAAAATTCTTTCACTTGTATAAGATAACCTAATTTCACAAAGCAGATTTAGGAGCATAGTGATACTTCACATTATACCTACCTACCTTCCTGCCTGCAGATATAGTTTGCAGAATAATCTCCTTTATAAAAATGTCCTCACTCTACATCCTGAATGCTTTGAAAACTTCCCAATATATCTAAAAAGGGCACCTGCCTATAAGTGAAGCACTTTGCAATGTGAGGATTGAGCTGAATGGCCTCAGGATTCCTAAAACCACCCCAAACATTTTAGAAGAACAGAATTAGCATTGGTTTACAGTGAACAAACTCACAGGAAAGAACATATTATGGAGGACTAGGCTGGAGGGAAGAGGCCATGAGGAAAGGACTGCTATCAGTCCTCAGACATTGGAAGCCAGCATTATGGAATCCTTGCCTTGAGCCTTCAGCAGGAATTGATAGGAAACATCGGGTAAACCATAGAAAGGGAGTAAGCACCTTGACAGTGAAGTCCTCATACTCCAGCGTACAGTCCACCATGGACAGTGAGACTGGGGTCATCCTCAAGTACGTGACCGTCAAGCATGGTGCAACTGCTATCTAGCCCTAACTGTCAGTCTCATGATCACACAAGTGGGGAGTCTGTGTTTTAAGGCAAGAGAGTTCCTGACCACATGTGTCTGTTTATAATGCCTGAATCTCCCTCTGCTTCTCAATTTTAGCCCTTAGCAATGGGTTATCACCAACGTGTAAAAGTTAAGTTTGTTATTAAAGCCCCAAGGGTCAATAATGAAAGTCATTAAATGGCAAGACACACAGAGGAGTGCAGGGAAAGTGATTTATTAAAACAAATTGTTGACGCCTTTGCATTGTACTGAGGATCCAGGCTTTCCTTGATGGATGGTGAAACCAGGATTAACCGTGATATGCAGCTCATACATCACAAGCTTTTATGATTTCTGCCTGCAATTGAAAATCAGAGAGAAAAGAGAAAATAAGACAATGTCAGCCATGGTTTTTCTGGAGTCAGCTTAACAAAACCACTATGTCAATGGCGTTTTGCCTTTGAAGGCGTTTGTTAGTATAAAATGCAAGAAGGATGTGTCCATGAAAAATTAGAATTTAGATCTGAAAACTTACAACAAAGCATGCACGTTAGGAAACTGCCCTTCCAAAATCAGTCAAATATTAGGATACTTTAAAAATTTTCATGAAGAAGCAAATGCAATAGGTTTATTACAGAACAACATTTAAATCTTGCATAGTATTTCCTTTAATCATGTGATTTGGAGAGCCTTCTTACTCAGGAAACATCCCAAATATGTGATTCAGGCCTTTGATGGAAGGTGGTGAGTACATAAATGGACACTGTTTTCTTCGATGTCTCAGAACAGTGGAGCCTAATTTCATATCCAAGAGGAGACACAGGTCAGAGAATCTTGCAGCACAACTGGAATAGAACTACGAGAAACTCTGCAATCAGGAGCCTCCAGTTCCCATGGTGGGAATCAGCTTTGAACTCAAGTTGATGGTAAATGGAGTTCATGATTAACAAATGGTGGTGGCCTGAAGTCTACTCTGATTCATCACATTTAGAGAAAAAGAAAGGTGTGTGTGAATGCTTCTGCTCCGCAAGCATCACAGACAATGCAGCAAGGGTAACTTACATTGATTGTGACAGGGAATAGGGTTGGAGTCAAGCAGGGGAAAATGGGTCCTAAGGTGCTGCTTTGGTCTCCTGGCTTTGTCAATGCCAACAAAGAAACTCCATCAACCAGTGGCTCCAGTTCGCAGAGGAAATCTCCTACCCCTGACTTTATCCTCCCTCTGACCTCATGTCCAACAGCACAAAACTCCCCTTGACACTAAGCAGTGGGAGAGTGGGAGAGTGGACCTGAGGAACCTGCTCTTTCAACATCACTCCCTGTGACTCCGACTCTGGACACCATGAGGACAGTGGGAACTAAATGAGTGACCTGAGAAGGAGAAACGTGCAGGGTAGATCTGTGTCCCTGAGTTTAATTCAACAGGTGGATTGGCGGAATCCACCATAAGAACTCGGGCCACCTCTTTTGGGGGGAAAAAAGCAAAGTAAGTGGAATGCTGGCAGATTTTTCCCTCCATGGAGTAGCAAGTTGGCCTCATGCCTAGTGCTATGACTGAACAAATGCCCATAACATGAAAGAGAAGAAATTACCACTACACCTTTAATTAGCAATCTATGTGCAAGGGAGATCTGATCCGTGCATTTCTTTGCCTCCACAAATGCCTCGGTAGCTTCTGCAGGTGCCCCAAATTTCGACAGGTACAATCTGAATGGTTTTTCAGGAGTTAGCAGATAATTTGAGCTTGCAACTGTAAGTTCTGGGCAGGCAGCTGCATCACCTGAAACATAGGAAAAGACATAATTTGCGTTCATAAACCATTTTTGACATGGATTTCTGAAGGGTGATCACAAAGGACTCTGAGGTTTTTATATTCTTTCCCTAGAATTGAGTTGACTCTAGGGAAAGACCTTGGATAAAGTAGCTTCCTCGGGTTTCCACAGCAAGTGGTAACTCACTCATTTAGATTCTCTGCATTTCTTAACCCAAATCCACATTTTTTTTTGTAAGAATTCCCTCTTAATAAAATCCCATATTCTCAATCCGAAAAATCGGTTTCTCTGGCAGTTAAAGATAGCTGGTCAGTTCAGGAGACTGGAGAAAAGGAGAGTTTGAGGAACCATTTAGGAAGTAAAAGAGTCAGAATCTTACCACAGAATTCAGATATGAAAGAAAACTCAGACTTGAGCCAGCAGGCTCTTGAATGGCTAAATAGGATCATTTTACTCAAATTTTGGGAATCCAACATACACCACTGGATGATGAACAGCTACAAGCTAAGCTTCCTCCAGAAACAGAGATATACAAAATAGTGTGTTGAAATAGCAGTTAGAATGGACTCTAATTCAGCAAAAGTCTTGGTCACATTGATCTAGTTCTGCCATTATTGGCAGCAGTTCTCATCCTCATCATAGTCATTTGAGAGTTTGTTATTAAACATTAAAATACACTCTCTTTTTGGATTAGGAACTCTACAGAGTTCTTGCTATGTATGGGCATTCCAAGTAGTTGAATTTATGAACTGAATGATGAGGGTGGGCCAGTGTTGGCTGCACAAGCTGATGCCCATGACACGCTAATCTTTCACTGGAGTCCTGTGATGGTTCCTTTACGACCAGGGAATGTGGTGGATGATGCTCCAAGTAATTAGGACTCTGCTCAACCACAGGAGAGACTGATGAACTTCCCAACTTCCGGTTTATCCTGGCTCGCCCCTTGCATTTGTGAGAATTTAAGAGTGAACAAATGAATGGAAGATCCCTCATGTCCAGAATTCCCATTTCACTCTACTGACTGTGATCATATGTGTCATTCAAGGGCCAGGACTCCAGCCACACCTCCTCTGTTTTCCTGCAGAGATTTCCCTCTCCAATTTCAGTGACATTGGGGAAACCGAAAAATAAAGCCTGTGTACTGGAGAGGAGATTCTTTTGTAATAATCTTAGGCAAATCTTTGGACTACTGGAATGTTCCAGATTCCATCTTACCACACGCAGGGTCATCTGCTGTTCAAAGACTCTTCCCAGATTCATCACAAGTGATACTCACTCTCATAGCAGCAAATGGCCAGAATGACCATCAGGAGACATAGAGACAGCCTCATGGTGGTGAATTATGCTTTAGGTATCAGCTTTAGGAAGCAAAGTCAGGCTTGTACTCCACCCAAGCAGCTTGGAGCCCTGGAAACCTGCGAATTATATACTCGATGAGTCTGTCTGGCCCTGCCCACAGAGTCAGGTGCCAGGTCATAGTCCTGTCTTCAGAACTCCTTTTTCTTGGAGGGCTGGTGCCAACATTCAGTGCCAAATTCCACACTTCCACTCTGTAAACATAAGCATAGCTGGAGTGATCAGGCTTCCCGGAAATGACCTCTGAACGTCAGGTAGCTTTTGATATTTTGCTGCTTAATTGCATCTTGTTCTCTTAAGGAGAACCATTATGTGTTCTGAGAACAGGATATAGGTACACAGGAAGCTAAGGAGTCGACCATGACCCCCTTTGTCTGTGTGGTATCTGACCGGGAGTCTTCCACATGCACAAACAACCCATCTGAACAGCATGGTTCCTCTCCTTGCCTCCCCTTCCATTTTTGCCTAACTGACATGGTTACCTTGAACCTAGGTGAAAAACCTTACTGAAGAACTTCTTTTGAGAAATAGCCTTTCTCCAACTGTGCTTACTGACCACACAGCCCAGTCAACTTCTTTCTTTCAATGCAACATGGATATACATCACAGAGGTTCCCATCTTCAGTCCTTTCAGGTGAAAGCCTGGTGTGGTCAAAAGAAATATGAGACTCCTACCCTCCAGACACATGGATGGAGACATAATTCACAGACACAGAGTCAAGTTGAAGGTTTTGTGCACCCAGAAGATTCCCCACAATTAAGTAGGGAGAATCTAGCAGTCCTCGCACTGGATACCCTAAAGGAATGGAATAGCATATAGCACAGAAACCTACCTCATTGCTTCACTCAGGCAAGGAAAGGTGTCAGGCCTTTGCCCAGCACATGAATGTGATGATGCAGAGCACTGATTGTGAATACAGTAATCTACAGACTTCAATAAAAACAAATGTGATATATAAACTTTTACCCATATAAAATGGTTTATGTATTCTTTCATGTAATGAAATGATAGACACATATAACAAGGCTCAGTCTTTGGCCCTGAGTTTCACATTGCAGTCAAACTTCCCAGCCAACTCCTACTGGACTCTTCAGGAGAACATGGTTGGAAGATTAAACTAGGTGAATTGGGAATCTTTTTTTTCCACCTCAGTGTCAGCACTTTTCTATTTACTGTAGCCACCGATGCATGAAAACACACACTTTTGAGAACTCTTGAAAAGTTACCCGGGGGACATGATGGAATTATTTCCTCTGCTAAAGTATTGTTATTCAGTTGGGAACATTTTTTCCTATTGATTCTCCCAAGATGGTCAGTGGTTTGGGTATCAGGCAGTTCAAGTTACAACCATGAAATGGAGATATGCAGGATGTGAGTCTGCACATACCGAAGACACACACCAAACATAGCAGTGTGAGCTTGTCACCCTTGTTTATTCATTGTCATTAGCATCATCTCTTCTTACTTTTGCTTCTTTTTCATCGTAACTGTTCTCCTTGCTTCTCTCCTCCATTTATTTCAGGGTGCAAATAGCTTCACAATCTGTATGTCTATTTGTCCTGAAATATTCAGAGCTGAACATAGCATAATACTGACCTGTTCTTCTGGGAGATAGATATCCTTCACACATACACAACCAATCCAGAAAATGCTTAGCTTTAGGGAGAACTTACTAATTTTAACCATCCCCTTGAGGGATTTTATTTTTAATTAATTTTGTATTAGAAAGTCAGATTTACAGAGAGAGGAGAGACACAGGGAAAGATTTTCTGTCCACTGGTTCCACTCTCCAAGTGTTCACAAAAGCCAGAGCTAAGCTTATCTAAAGGAGCAAGGAGCTTCTTTCGGATCCCCCATGTAGGTGCAGGGTCCCAAGGCCTTGGGCCATTCTCTACTGCTTCCCCAGGCCACAAGCAGGGAGCTGGATGGGAAGTAGATCTTAAAAAACCAGAAATGATTGGCTGTTGTTGGAGTGGATGTCCTACAGAGATCTTTCCTGTATTCAGATGTCATGGATCTGCCTATATGAGAACAATTTAGAAGCTTACTCTCCACTGGACTCCTGACATTCTTAATATCACTAATTTTCACTCATTCTTAACTACAGGAAGGATAAGAGGGGCTGTAAGAAGTTGGACATTTGCACATCTTCAAAGAAGCTGAAGTGTGACATAGCTTAGACTAGTACCCAGACTGCCCACTACTGCTGCAAGAACTCCCATGCCAGTCAAGGAGTGATGCTCTAGTTACTCTCCTGAAATTGCCTATGATGGCTTTCTTGTCAAAATTGCTAGGTATTACTATGAATTATTAGGAGTTGTGCTACTAAGTTAAGAGACAATTTTGAAACTGTGATCAAATAGGATTACATGGCATGCAGAGATGGATTTTAACATATTAATCACTAATGATACTCACGTAGCAACAAAGGCCAAGTGACCGGCAGGAAACACACAACTTCATGGTGTTTTGGCATAGCTTATAATGCTATCATCTATGATACTAGCAGAATTGCCACTGTCATGCAAGGCAGAGAAAGTAGCCATAGGGGATCAAGAGAGGAAAACCTCAACCACACAAGATAGAAATGCCAGCCAAGTTTACTTAGGGATTAAGTTAATTGTGTGGGAAAATACAAAAACAAAGCCGCCTTATGTGCTAAATAAAGAGGAATATCTATGAGAGCCAGAGAAATTAATTCCTAATTACTCATGAAGAAATTGTTTGACGTTGGGATTACCTATCTTAGTATACATTAATGGAGCATAGGCTGACCTTTATAGAGGTCACACTTGATTTTGGAAGCAGTCAGAAAGGAAGTGATGGCTGCTTATGCAGATACCTTCATATAGCTCTCCTTGGATGACCCCTTTCAATGCCAAGACACTAAATGCTTTTGTGAATGTAAAGACATGTAGTTTCCTTGCCGGAACTTAAGGAGGATGTGCCACATGTGCAAATCCTTATGCACTTGCCTAATTCATCCGGAAAAAAAAAAAAACCACACATTTCCCCTGATGGTCATTATAAAATCTCCATGTTTTATCAGAATAACTTGCGGTGACTATTCTCTGCTGAATCAAATAATAAACACTTTGGAAGACAGAAATGAAATAAAATGTCAGGATATGAGAAAAAGAGCAAAAAAAAAAAGTATGAGCACAACAGAGTAAAACTTTATAGGAAGAAGTTACAATGTTGATTGGAATTAAGATCTAGTAAGCCTGATGTGAGATACATTTTACTCAATTAATGAGCTAATCAAGGCTTTAATTATCAAATGCATGACAAGAAAGCATAAAATGAAAAGAAAGATGACATATATCCATGAGATAAATCCATATACTGAAAATTAAGGATAATACCAATTTCCAAAAAAGGTTGCATTCAAGTTTTTTGGGTATGTACCTAGCAGTGGAATTTCTGGATCATGTGATAAGTCATTTTTCTAGGTTTGCTTTTTTTGTTTTAACTAAATTCCACATTGTTTTCCTCAGTGCCTGCATTAATTTACATTCCCATAAAACTGTTCCAATAGAGGATATAAGACTGTTCATGAAGGACCACCCATGGTAGTACTAGAGGCGAGATCTATCAGGAAGGGAGGAGGGAACTTGGGGAGCAGGATGGACAATCCTAGAGCCTATGGAACTGTATCATAAAACAATAATAAAATAATTTAAAAATTTTTTTAAAGTTTAAGTGTTCATGTTTCTCACATTCTTATCAGCATTTCTCTTTTTTTAAAGATGTATTTCTTATTTAAAAATGTATTTTCATTGGAAAGGCAGATACACAGAAAGAAGGACATATGAAGAGAAAGATCATTCATCTGCTGATTTACTCCTCTAGTGGCCTTAATGACCAGAGCTGAGCCAATCTGAAGCCACAAGCCCAGAGCTTCTTCCCAATCTCGCATGTGGGTGCAGGGTCCCAAGGAGTTGAGTTATCCTCTGCTACTTTCCCAGGCCATAAGCAGAGAGCTGGGTGGGAAGTGTGGAGCAGCCAGGACGTGAACTGGGGCCCATACGGGATGCTGGCACTGCAAAGCAGAATTCGTTAGTTGAGCCATTGTGCCACCCGCTCACCAGCATTTCTTACTCTCTGCATTTTGGATTTTAGCCACTCGGACAGAGTTGAGGTGATATCTGATTGTGTATTTAATTTGCATTTCCTTGAGGGTTACTGATGCTGAATATTTCTTTATGCATTTATTCACTGTATTACCTTCTTGGAAAACTATTTATCAAAGTCCTTTTCATGTGTCTCAACTGCATTGTTTTCATTGTAATTGTTCAGCTCTTTAAGTAGCTGATATATTTGGGCTATCAATCCTTCAATAGATGGGTGATTTGTAAGTTTTTTTCCCCATTATGGAGGATGTTCCTTCATTCCGTTGGGCATTTTCCTTGTTGTGCAACACTTTCAAGTTTTGCATAGTATTTCCATTTACTTTTGCTGCCTGAGTTTTGGGTAGATCTTCTACAGGAAACCATCCCCTTCATCAGTGTTTTAGAGTGGTTTTCCCAGCTTTTTCTTCCAGCAACTTAATAGTCTCAAGTCTTAAATTTAGGTCTTTGATCCATTTTGAGTTTGTATATGATAAGAGGCAAGGATCAATTTTATTCTTCTATATATACACATACAGTTTGGCCAGCATGGTTTATTCACTACATTAGCCTTAGTGCATTAGATGGTGTGAGCACTTTGTTCACAAATCCATAAGCTGCATGTATGTGAGCTAATTTATGTGCTCTCTATTCCATTCTACTGATCAGTTTTATGCCAATATCATGCTGTGTGAATTCCTGTAGACTTCAGCATGCTTTGAAGTCAGGTACTGAGATGCCTTCAGCTTGACTTTACTTGTTCGGGATGACTTTACATATTCTTTGTCCTTTGTGATTCCATATGGATTTTGGGATTTTTTTAATTCTATAAACTGTCATTAGTTTCTTGATAGGAATTGAATTGAATCTGTAGATTCCTCTAGGTAGTTTAGGGACTTTAATGATATTGATTCTTCTGATTCATGAGCAAGGAATGTTACTCAACTTTT